AGTGGGGATTTTTTAAAAAAATAACGAATTTAAGGGAATTTTACTGATTTCCGTGTGATGGATGATTGACGGTAATTTGAAAAGCACTGTAATTATCCAGTTTTTGAGATAATATATGCATAGGTGTAAAACACCATAGGTGCGTTTTGGTAAAATTCATTAATAATTATGCGTTTTTCAAAAGCCTTTGCATGTCTTCATTATAGTCATCTGTTCATCAGCTTCATCAGCTAATAGGATTTTTTGGTCATGTCGGAGGATTTGTGTAGAGAAACCAGCTTTGAAATCAAATAATTTCAAACCAGGCAAAATGATCCGCAAATTTGACCAGAGCTACGGCTCATGGGTCCACAAATCCGCCTATATGCTCTCAATTTATATATATTATAATTTAAGATGCCTCTTTATTATTAATATTCATGCATAAATTCATCTTTGTTGTCCAATATTTACGTCTCAAATATAATAATTGATTCATTATAATTTGTGAAATATTGTAATTTGTCGAAATACAGAAATAGAATCGGTAAACCATGTATAATACAAGTATAAAAAATCGAAAAAAAGAAAAAAATAATAAAGCGAAAAAGATTCTACTTTGAGATTACTAACACAAATCATTACAGCAATCGGCTCGATTTTCATACTATCACATGATTATCGAAGCACACATTTTCGGGTTGCATTACACGTAGCCAGTTACACAATCGCGTTTGTGATCAAGTCTAAGTAAAAAATTTTTAGTACGAAATTTTAGCTATATATATGTAGCTGAACAATTCTGATGTTTACGCTCTTTTGACATAATCTGGCACAGATTTCGGACGCTCACACGCAATCACATAAATGTTTATATGACTGCCATGACCAACACAACATGGCCTATACACGTCGCAATCGATACCGTAAGAGTTACTAAGTTTGGTTTATCCTACTTAGTATTGTCGATTGTAATCAAAGAAAATTCTAAAACAAAATTTACAAAATTTCCTTCGACTACAATTTTATTCTTTGCATATCTATTAGCTTTTGCAGCAAATTCGGCAAATCCCCTAACCATTTCTCGTGTACACTGCAGCCATTTCTTAATAGCGTAATTTGTTTCCTGACCCCAATCAGGTAAACAATTAACTAATTCATCAAACTCTTGAACCAATTCATTATGATAGATAGTAATTATTTTGAAAGCTTCTTCGTAACCAACATTATTCATTCTAGCAACTGCATTTATAGAATTCACCCTATTATTATGAATATCTTTCCAAAAACTAAATGCATCATTTGTGAGGGCCACTAGTATACAAGTAATGTCACGAATTTTCTTTAAAATAGGATGTTCCAAAATTTGAGGATCAATTTCGAAATTAATGATATTCTCTATGTAGGAAAGACATGGAATCATTCCAATAGTATATTTACGTATTTCAAGATATTGATCGAGTGTTGGATGTTTGCCTGTTCTTTCAAAAATCTTTGCTATAAAAACAAAATAAAATAAACAAATAAATTATATAGTATGATAGATACATAATTATTTAAATAAATTGATATATGACTTGATACTAACTAATTTTATTCTCTTCTATGCTAGAAAACATCCAAAATTTCATTTCGTTTGCTATTCTCTTTACCCATTTTTCACTTCGCTCTTTTGCCATTTCATCAAAAAGTTCTATCCAAGCAAGACAAATGGGAGAAGCGTTATTGATATTCAACATGTCAAGCGTAACTCTGGGGTCATCAAAAGCACCATCGTAAGAATATAGGGATGATTCGTTATATTCTCCACGAGTAGTAAAATATTTAGAAAGCATTTCTCGTGACCAAGAGACCTCTTTATAATTCTCTACTTCAAAATCATCCCAAAATAACCATAAAGCGGCATATTTGCCAAAGTGAAGGATTTTCTTATAGTCACAGTCAGCAAGAGAATAACCAACATAAACATCGAGGCTCATTTCGCGTGACATTGTTTCATCCTTTTCTTCTTTAATGAATCCGAGTTTTTTCCCCCAATTAATAAAATCATCTTCAAGTTCTTTTGCACGTGGGTGTATATCATTCTTTGGTATCCAAGTAGTAGGATATTCAAACACGTAATCTTTTGGATTATAACGAAGTAAATTCCGAACTTTTTCAGCTGGAAGAATTTTATATTTTGGAGAAAGAGTTAACCTATTTGCCCATCTAATGAATTTATTATTTTTTACAATTCTATTAACAAACGAAGTTTGAACTTTTTCTTGGTTTTGAATAATATTTTTCTGAATTGAATCTGACTTTTTTTGCTTGGTATTAATATTAATTTGAAGTTTCTGTATAAAATCAAGCGGAGACATCTTTTGATATTTGGTAAATGTTTAACTTTAAACAAAAGCAAAGTTTATTTTTTATACGTATAATGTACAGTACATTGACAAATAGGTCTATTCATTTTGTTAATCATACAAAATAAACAATAATTTTTTTTTATTTACCAAATTCTGTATTACCCGCTATTGAGCATGCATATGTACCCCTAATGCGTGATTGATCTGTGAACTGTCAAACAATTACGCCTAATATGAATTTTTTATTATATATTTATTTTTTTATTTTATAAATTTCTTATATTGTGGTTCGGTAAGCCACAACGGCTGTGGGGGATCGAGCTGGTTACTAATAGTTAGTAACTATCAGTAAAAGTAAAGAACTAACGACAAGTGTTAATAACTACAGAAGAAGAGTATCATACTATCTTAGTCATCTAAGTAAAGTTGTCCAAGGCATGCTTTTACATATGGGCTGAGTGCTGGGAAAAAAACTACTCTGGTTTACTTATCTTGAAAATTTCATTCTTAATAATAATATTCATTATACTATTATTTCTTATTTTCAATCTACTGGTATTAACCTATTTGTATATCAAACTAATTCATTTTCTAAAACTGACAAGCCTTGGGTATTAACTTATTTCAATAACATTATTATTAGTTAAGTTTGAAAAACCTTCTTTTAATCTAATAAAATCTCTATCACATATTGGCAACACAATATCGATATTTCTACTCCATACTATTATCCTTTATTCCCAATTTCTTGCACTCCTTGCTAGGGTTGCAACCTTAAGTCCTATCATATAACTAGTTGTTGCATTTTAGAAGTATCAACTATTCTTT